AGTGCCGTGGTCTGCAGGATTAGTTGTTCCCTTTACGTGATACAATTGCTGAGGTGTTGAGCTTTCATGTATTATAGCCAATGGGTTAGCTATAAATGTGCTATAACCAGCTGATCTGTTGTTTATGTAATAAAGCATAATTGTTGAATCAGTCCAGTAGAATATAGACCCCTTTGAAAGATCCAACTCCCGGCTTATGGTATCACATAACTTAATCGCTACAACGGCAGCCGCCAGCTGTAGTCTAGGTATGGTAACTGCCATAAGTGGAGCCACGCGAAATTTAGCCATAGCGAGGTTACATACAACATTACCATTTATGCTGTCCCTCAAGTAGGTTGCGGCCCCGTAAGCTGATTCAGACGCGTCACTGAATATGTGCATTTGCGTTGACTCACGGGCTCTTTGGTTTTCACTCCCCATACACCTCGGCACGTTTAGTTCCTTCAATTTGTTGACCTCACTAACCCAAGATTTCCAAGTGCAACGGTCATTCTTACCTACTGGTTCATCCCATCCAAGGGTTTTGCGACAAAGTGCTTGTAACATTACTCTACTTGTCAGAAGTACTAGAGTAACGAGACCCAAGGGGTCATACAGAGAAGCAACATACGAAAACAGCCTTCTTTTAGTGAATGGATTCCGGATTGCTTCAGACGGGAAGACGAAAGCATCGTCAACAATAAGCCAATTCATGCCTAAAGTGCGCTCTTGGACATCTAGATTCATATTTAGCTGTGCACAACTAACCGCCCTTTCACTCTCTGGAATATTGCTTATGGCGTCACTGCAATTGCTCAACCACTTGAATAGCCGGAAACCTCCTTCGCTAAGTGCTACTCTTAATTGATCCGCGAAAAGCATTGCTTGCTCGGCATCGTCAAACGGTGCTAAACAGTCGTCCACGTAAAAATATTGTCCAATCGCACCTCTCACTCGATCATTGCCTATGTCTGTGAATGATTCGGCCGTGCGGCATAAGGCGTAGTTCGCACAAAATGACGACTAGGTGGCACCAAATGGGTGAACTAAAATTCTATATTCCTTTGGTTGTTGATTGAGATCTCCATCAGGCCACCATAGGAACCTTAATGCCCCCGAGTCACGTTCAGGCCCTCTAACCTGCAAAGCCATCTCTTGTACGTCTGCTGCTACAGCTACTTTGCTTAAGCGAAAGCGCAGCAGTACTCTAAGTTAGCTACGGTATTCGGTCCTGACAGTCAGTTTTGGTCAAGACAAACTCCTTGATAGGTGGCTGCACAATCAAAGACTGTTCTAACCTTTTCAGGTTTCTTTGGGTTTACCACCGGATGATGTGGTAGGTACCACCTAGGTCTGTACGCGACTTCCAGTTGATAGTCAGGTACACGGTCGAAGCAGCCCTTTTGAAAGTGATCGTTCAATAAACTATTCTACCTATTAAATAAATTTCGATATCGCATAAACCTGTGTTTCAGGCATTCTAACTTCCGAAACACTAGCTCGTAGTTGTTCGGCATGGTCTCTGGTTTGGTATTCCACGTTAATCCGATACTAAATCGTTTCCCGTCATGGTTTATCGATTGCTCTGCTATTTGTAACGCTCGACGATCTTCCTCGGAGTGATGCATGACCATCGTATGCGGTTCTTCAAACTACTGTTTGTATAAATCCTCCAACATGATGCCAGTTTTACTCTCCCAAATAATTGTAAACATTTGTTTGCAAGCTGTTACGCTCAAGGACGGTCCCATAGTCAACCATTTCAACGCAGTTTCGATCGTTTAGACCGCCGTATCGACCGTTATTCAACTTGGGGGGGGGGACATCACAACCGATG